CACTTGTAAATTGATATTGAATCTGAAAATGTTTCACTTTCTATCCAGGAAGCTTTCTCAATTTAAAAACATCTTCACCTTCAGAATAAAAGTCTAGCTGCTTTTTTATTTTATTTTTGATGATTGATCATGACCTGGATGACTGAGAATCTTTTTCAAGAAATTGAACATTGTATCAATAATGGCTGATGTCAGTCAAAGACAAATAAACATTATTTGTACAAACTCTACAAAACTGTACTGAGCCCCTAAAGGGACATTGGATGAAAAAAAAAAATCTTGTGCACACCAGATACTTTCTCATGCACACCAGATGTGGTGTGCTCCAGATACTTTCTTAGTATAGTCACCCAGTTTCTTCCCCTCTGCCGTCGAACTCTTGAACATTTAGAATCACGTGACTCTATAACTCTGCCAATTGGCCACTTTATCACTGGTTTTTAAATTGCACAACCACGACTATATTCAAAAAGAAAAAAATAAGTAGGTCCTCTGGATGGGTTCTTTTTTAGTGAAACGTTTCGTCTCTCCTCCAAGAGACTTCTTCAGTCTGATGAGTTTCAGGTGAACTCTGCCTTATAAGCACTGCCTCCACATGGTGGACAAGCAGGTTAGTCACATGCAAAAGAGGGCCATCGCCTAATAGGTTTGATTAGCTCTATTTAGTCACATGCAAATTATTTTTTCTTTTTGATTCTACCTGGATTACTGCATCAGGACACGACTGTATTCCTTTTCTGGTCACTTTTATCACTGGATCTAATTGCACTACTCCAAATATATTGTCTGCTCTGATTACTGTATTGAACTGGTGTACATATTTTTTATATATTTTWTTACATTTTTTCTTTATCCTTTGTATTTTCTTTATTTGTTATATTTGATACCTATTGCACCTTTACACCGAAGCAAATTCCTAGTCTGTGAATCCTGTTCATTGACAATGGCAATAAAACTGATTCTGATATTAAGTGCAGACTGCCCCAGACACCAATATGCATTTAGGCGCAGTGGGTTTGGCTTGTCCACTGGGCACAGATCATGATTTTTAATTTTCCTCATACCTTTTTGACACTAAGAATGAAAAACGGTTAGAATTTTCATTTTGATTTCTGAATTTTAAAACAAAAATCAAATAGCTACTTATTTCTTGTTTTTTAACACTTGTTTCTAAAAGGAAAATCCAATGTCCAATGTCCACTGAGCAATTTGACTCAAATTTCTGTCAGCCGTAGCTCCCTGTAAAAGCTTCTTCAAAACAAAGTGGATCAATTCATTTTTATTTTAATGTTTTACAGACAAAGGAGTGCTGCAATGGGGGTGAGCCTCCGTCACCCTCCTGTCCCCCCTTCTGTTGTCCAAGAAAGAGCGTAGACATCTGAGAACCGATGGAGAGGAGCTCCGTGGGGCTTGCTCTCCAATTGTCAACGGGCAGAGTGCTTCTTCTTATTCATGATGATCTGATAGAAAATGTTTAAAACTTTAGTTGGCTGTTCTCTGTGGTGTAACAAACATTTCCTGAAAATTTCATATAAATCAGTTCGGTACTTTTTGAGACAAAAGCCTGAGACGGCAGCTGGCTAGCTTTAGCTGAACTATCCCTTGTCATGGAAACCGTAAACATGTGGGAAACGCGGGAGGAAAGTCTCCAAGAAGCTTGCTACGCAGAGGGCTTCTTCTGTGGCATAATGATCCGATTGGAGCCGTGTGCCCACGCGTGCTATGAAATGTTTCAAACTTTAAACAGCTGTTGTCTGTGCTGCTGATAATGAACTGACAACATTCGAAGCGGGTGCACCGATGTCGGGCAAGCAACACAAGTATCTTTTTATGACAACACTGCTAATTATAATCAGAAATATCATGTGACTTATCTGGTGGCATGATAATAATTATGATAATTTCCTCTTAGGTGCTCATCTAATAACTGCTAAGTGGTGGACACAAGTTAGAATTTTTTTATCCAATGTCCACGTAGGAGCTCAGTAAAATTGTGTTCCTTATATTGTAAAAAAAGTGGAAAAACCCTGCATTACTGAGTTGCCTTGGAATGTCGAGAACACATCTGCATGTTACATGTGGTCACGAATGGAAACCAGGTATTTTGTGTTTGTTGTTGCATCGTCAGCTTGGTGTGCCTTTAAGTGGCTTAACGAGCCCAGCGGGACGTCTCGCATCAAACGCTCTGTTAATGGCTGATAAACTCAATGGGCGTGGCCAGACTGGACAACAAAACTGGCACGTTCAAGAAAGCACAGCAAAAAAATAAATAAAATAAAAAAAACTCAGTGTGCCTCCCAAACCCTCCACTCAATTTCCAATAATTTTCATGAGATGTTTGGAACGATTTTCAGTTTATGGGAAAGTAATAAAATGTCAAATTCATCATGGTTTAAAGCAGCAGAATATGTAAAAAAAGGAGGTTTATGTGAGGTAAAGAATGACAAATGCAGATGGAATGATGTTGGTGTGCTGTCATGCCATTTGTGTACAAGTTCTGTTAAACACAAGCAAGAGTAGAGACTGTAAATAAACAAAACCACATACACACATACACACACACGCACACACAATAAAGGCCATAAGACCAAACCGACAGTCATCACAGTGATTTACCTCACATGGACACACCAACAAAGCCCTAACAGATGTTGTGGTTCATTTACAACTTGTTAACAGCAAAGTTGCTTATAAAAGTCTTTCGGTTTTGTTGCCTATGACTACATGCAAATAATCTCCAGACTACCAAAACCACAAACTAAAAATATATTTTGTGCAGGAGCCAGAGCTTACTTCAGCAAAACTTTGAGCTTTACTGGCTGAAAGATTCTTCACTTTCTCCTCATCCGGTAAACGAGACGAGCATGTCTGCAGCCAATATGAGTGTATGAAAGAAAAAAAGAATAAAAGACCCAGGAGGCCCATTAAGGTTCTGAGGAGTAAAGTTTAATGGGATCATGACTGGCTTTGTCAGAGGTCAAACATTTCATCAGTTTATGGAACAAAAAGTTCAATCAGAACCATTTGTACAGTCCACTCAGCCAAACTAAAAGCATCCACATTGGATCCACCAACTGGGGGTGGTGGTGGAAGGAAAGAAAGCAAAGAACCTCTTTTAGCAGCTTGGACATACAGAGGGTCATTACTTTTGACAAATGACAGACGTCTTGCTTTATCAAAG